AAATTTTTACTAATATTTACGTAATAATATATGTATATAAATATATATATATATATATATATATATATATATAATAACATACACAACTTTAAATATACTATACAAACAATAATATTTCATGTTATAAATCTATTGAGCCTTGAAGTATCAAGGATGGTTTACCGACTATTTTGTACATTACAAATAAAAGATCCTTTTTATTTATATTAAATAATTTGTACATAAAAAAATAGTATAATGATGAATCTATCATATACCGTATATTACACGGATGATTCTTCGTGTATACATGTTCGAACTTGTATTTTTGTATACCTGTAAAAACGCGTAAACACATGTATATTTAACAAATTGTTTTTAACAATACAACAATAAATAAAAACTTATTTTGAGCTTCTTTTATCAAAACATAATTCTAAACAATATTCAAGATCAATAATATTATACAAAATATCATTTTAACAATATTAAAATGATATTTATAAAATTAAAATTATTAATAAAGATATGGAGCTTTAAATCTTCTAAAATATTAATTATAAAACATTTGAACATTTTAATCTCTATTGCTCTAAAATTGCGAATATTATGTTATTCATATTTTATAAAAGAAGAATCAAAATGTAATTATTATCGAAGTCGAACTTATTCGAATAAATATATTACAGTCACTTAAATTCACAAATGGATTTTTTTCATTTCACATCAAACAATCATTTATATACAATTTGGATTTTTGGAAATGATATTTTTCTATAACTTAGAATTTTCAAATCGATGTGATGGTGGTGGGTGTAATCGTGGAAGTTCTAAAGTCGATACTCTTCCATCATCGTTAATGAATATGTTATTATCATATCCAAATTTATTATTAATTTCCGTCTTTGGTTCTTCTTTAGCAGCTCCATCCATCAAGAACATTGTCAGAAAGAACATGATGGAACCTGAAAGAAATTAAAGTGCGCTTATTAATTAAATTAAATTAAAATAACTATTTAATATGATATATTATATATATATTGAATTGATACAATAATATAATATCTCTAATATTGGATTTCTAAAATACTTACTAATACCATAGAAACCAGCGTAATAAATATAAAGAGATTCTCGGAAACCGATAGCCATTCTGGTTGGTTCGACGAGTATCGGTAAATTTCCACCGATATTGTTCATAACGAATAAGAAAGCACCAACAGTGGTCGATCTAAAGTGAAGAGGAACTATTTCTACAACCACTGCAAATACGATTCCAAACCACATTTCAGCTGCAATTGATATGAGATACGTGTAAGTAATATATCTATTTTCGCGATTATATACATATATATAAGGATTTCATTTAAAAATATTAAAATTATAATAAAGCAACGAATGTAAATTTACCGAAAAAATAGGAAATTCCAAGAGTAATGATAGCCCATAAAGGATTGAAATATACAGAGCCAAAAGCAAACGGCGTAGCAATTATTTGGCTGATGGCTAGAACAGCTACCCGCGATCTAATACCCATTTTCGCAACGAATTTATCGCTAATTACTCCACCGACCACAACACCGATGCTACCGATCACTATAGTAACTGCGAACAACCACCAGCCCAAATCGTAGTCGGGGAAGTAATCTCTATAATAGAGATCGCAATTGTAGGCGAAACACATACCACCTAGAAATAAAAAGTTACCTTTAAATGACCAAAGAAAAGAAATCTTATGATATATGTTTTGTGAACAATTATAAATTGGCATATATATATAAAAAAAAAAAATTCTTCTTTCAAAAGAATAGCTTATTACAATTTATAAAAGAACATATTGTATAAGATTAATAAAAAGTAAGAATTTGAATTTTGAGAAGTGTAGGTAAATATTTCTAATTCATATATAATGTATATTTTTCAGAAATTTTTCTGGAATAAACTATCTGGAGTAACCAGATAGACTCTAATATACCCTTGAAGAATGTATTTTTCAATCCTTCGCGTCAAGGTATTGCCCTTTACCGCAATGTCTGATGCTGGCAGCCAAGCATAATAGTATTATCCTCGGTTGTAAGATCACTTTCCAAATTGGTACTTTTTTCCCATCGGCACTTGTTCCTTCCTCGCCGATCGTCTTCCTTTCCGGTTCAGAAAGAGTAAAAGTAAGAGCAGCTACGATCAACCCGATTATACCAGCTCCGTAGTAGCATGCTCTCCAACCCTGTTTAAATATTTTATTATATTTTCTTAACAAGATATCTTTGAATGAAACGAATCGTGAGAATGAAAATAAAATCAATGTTTTTTTTTTTCGTTTAAAAAAAATATATAAAATACCAAATTTCCAATGTTTAATCCTGGAATATAACGGCCAACAGGAAATGCAATGCCGTAACCACCATAAATGCCCCAATTGAATATTGACATAACGAGTCCTCTTTGTTCCTCTGGGAACCAATCGGAAAGCAAACCCGTGGCCAAGGGATTGCATCCTGCCTCCCTGTTTGTTTCAAATTATGTAATTTAGATTATATATCAATAATGGATCTGTGGCGTTGTAATGTGAGATTTGCAAGAAGAGAAAAGAAAGAATTTGTTTCGTCGAATCTCGTCATTTCATCGATTCAATAATTTCATTTCGACAGATCCTGGTGTTTTAGATGCCAAGAGAATAAATTTGAAATTTCATCATCAGTATTAATTGAACATAATTAAAGAATGATAAGATGAATTCTTTAATTATTATTTGTAAGCGGGATATAATTAAGATTATAGTAAAATATGACGTGTCGATTAGAACGACATAATAATTTAGCGTTTTTCTTCTTACAACGTCGTGAACAAAACGTTCGATGGACGTCGTAATATAAAACTGAGACAGATTTAAAAAGACATAGTCGTTTTTTTTTCAACTTGTGCAATCTTGACTTTATAAAAACTGAATGAGCGAGCAATTACATTTGTCAGAAGATACTCGAAGGTGATGAAGATGAAGAAGGCCACAGATCCAATTGGAAGAGAAGCATTTTACATTCAGCTTACCCTGCTGCTAAAATCATACGTAGAATGACCAATTGCCAATATTCTTTTACTGCTCCCATTAAAACGATAGCGATGCTGAATACCAGCGTACAAACGGTTAATAATCTCACTCTGAAAATTAAAAAATAGAATCTTTATCGATCTTTGACGTTTCGCAATGGTATAAACGTGCATTGAATTTTTAAATTTCATCATCTATATTTTTCGAAATAACTGTTTTTATTTGAAATTCTAATTCTTCTTGTCTCAACTTGATGCTCATCTTAAATACTATATTGTATATTTAAAAAATATATTTAAATATATTTAAAAAATTAATTGATCATCTTATCTTTTTCTTTTTATTTCGAAAATGTTTCGGTTTGTATCAACGCGACATTTAAAAAACTCCGATCCGTTCTATCAATTTTCCTTTTCTCGCAATTACATTTTAATTTTATTCCAAGAATATTCATCGAATAAGATTTTGCGCGCGACAAAAAAAAAAAAATTGTTTAATTATTCATCTAACATTATTCTATTTAACGGTATACGATATTCAATCTTTTCAAAGCTTTATGAAGTAGTAGTAGTAGTAACGATAACAGTAGTAGTAACGGATATATCCTACGCCTACAATGTCAAGCAAGTATAGAAAGGCTAAATGACGAAACACTAGTCATGATATGTCGATATATCTATTGGAACGTATCGCGATTGAAGAAAAAAAAAAAAAAATAACTATCAACACGTTTACTATGTATATTCGATACGTTCACAACGATATACAAAATGCGATGAACAGTTATTAAAACAAAATCGCGTAAGTTCGAGCAGAAATATTTATTATAATTCGTTTTGAATGAAATAATAAAATTTTTAATGGTAAAAAAAAAAAACCTGATCGAGATTGAATTAAGAGAAACAATACCGGGATTTAAAGATTTCAATAGATTTAATTTTTATAAATAATATATGTATACCTATTATATTTATCGGCCGCGATACCTAAAGCGACACCTATAATCGTGAAAACGGCGATGAAACTCGGACCAGCCAGTATTTGATAGTCGAGACCAAGGCCGTTATAGTTCCATTCGCAATAGCTGGTCCCATTCAGTTCCAGGGACACACAACTGTAAAATAAGATACATTCTAATGTTATCTAAGTTGGTTCTAATTCGATCAGAGTTAAAACGGATACACGAGTTTCACAAATGTAATCGATAAATATGCATATCAGTGGTAGAAGTGTTAAATAGATGTATCAGTTTCTGTTCTATTTTTCCATTATTTATAATAACGTATTATTGAACTATCTTTTTCGACGAATAAATGTACATTTTACGAATAAAAATTTAAAAAACGAGTTATTTATCACTCGATAATTCTTTAAAAATTATAGTTATAGAGGAGACTTACAAACTTTCATTTTTGGCAACCTCACACTGAATCGGTAGATCGACAATCGCTAACGTGGTCGAATTTAATTGACAAGAAATATCACCGTAGTGGAGATCCTCAGCTGTCGCCTTGCTTGTGACACCTTGAAAACGATGGTGCATAAGAAAATTACACTGATAACGAGCATTCTCTGTAATTTATCGTGAATTATCCAATTATATCCGTATATTGATAAATACTCGTTGCATGCAAGAATTTACATTGTGTGTAAGAATATAAAAATTCAAAAGAATAGAAAGAAGGAAAAGAAAAAATACCGAGATATCCATCTGGAATTATGTCGCGCGTAATTATATCTCCAATTGACGATTTTACGAGGATAATTTTAGTTTTTTTTTTTTTTTTTTTTTTTTTTTAAGAAAAAGGAAATATAACAAGCGGAACTGAATGTGCATTACTTACCAATTAAGTAATGACCTAGCTCTCCAAGTACGTATCCAACTGAAACTATGGCCAACGCGTACGGCTTGTACAAGAATTGCAATTTTTGTGCTACTGTGCTACTCAACATTGTGCTCTGGAAAAAAAAAAAGGAAAAAAATTAAATTTATCTTTATTTATTAAACGATCTTAATTAACGATGGATAACGAAGTTAGGATAAAAATAAAAATAGAATCATCACTGTATCATAATATTGATAATTTTTTTTTCTTTATCTATTTCTTATGAAAAACGTTTTAAGTATATTTTTTTATTAAACGTATTAAATATAATTATATAATTCGAGTCATAGTGTGTTTTAATAGTTAATCATTTAATATTTTTACGCGAGTATAATATAGCTTGTCATTAAATGTAAATTGTATAATGCATCGATATGTACAAGTATTGTGAAAATTATCTCTCATCGTTTTTTAAGTACCTCCATTTGATTGTAAATGTGTGATTGCCAATGATGTGATATCTCCAGCTTCTATCCTAAGTATTAATAGAATCATTATTTTTTTTCATATTCACATGTCAATTATTGCGAAGTTTTATATTGAATTATTACAAATAATAATTAAAATTTCCGCAACAAGATTAATAATACAAGATAATAAGATTAATAAAAATGAATTGCTTTGAATATTTCTTCATTATTAATAATTTATGAACAACTAAAGTAAATTTATTATTATTAATAGGAATCATAATTAGATAAAATAAGTAAAGAATTTATAAATCTATTATTATCATTAATTTATATCATTAATTCGAATTAAACTAATAACTCAGTGACTTAAATTATCATTAGTTAAGTTATTACATTAATAATAAATGTTATCTATTTTTAGTAATCAATGTATAAAATTAAATAAAATTGGGATAGAATTTAGAATAACAAAAATTGGAAAAGTCGAAAAAAGAAAATTAAAATACATTATTGAATTGTTTTTTAAATTGTTTGATCATGATTATGAAATTATAATGTTAACATTTCCTTGGTGTTACGGTAAAAAATAAAAAATAAAAAATTATTATAATTATTAAAAAATATACCATACTAATCGATAATAATTTTGAAATCAAAAAGATAATTTGTCATTCATGTATTATAATTAAAAATTATTAATATATACGTATATAATCAATTGCATTCTAAATACATTAATGAGAATTATTTATTCAAGGCTTACCTGTTTTGTATTGCTATATAATTATATGTAAAATAAAAATAAAATTTAAACATATGTACATATAATACATATTACTTTATATGTACAATTCATGAATAATAATAATGAAAACAGCAAGAGTAAAGCTGTTAAAAATAATTTGACGTTTCTTATTTCAAGTTCAATGTTTGGTGCAATTTATATTTATAATACTGTTATACCAGATCATTTAAGTTTTTTATCTTATTAAAAGAGAAAGAATAAAACATTGATTATTGAACGAATGAATAGCTAATGTTTGGTACAATTCACTTATCCATAGACTTCTAGCACGTGTATCATGCAACTTGGTCACCTTGAGCCAAAATCATTGAAACGTAACGAATATTATCCTTTTAATAATGTTAATTCCATCATTCGTGATAATCGTGCCTTAATACTATTTTGATAAAAGAATTTGGTGAATATCTATTCCTTTTTATCTAAAGATGGTTTTTTCTTTTCATTTCGAATTAACATTACATATTACAGGATAAAAAATTTGAAATTTCTTTTTCAGTTGTATTTATATTGAACTTTTTAATTAATTCTAATTAATCATTTTATTTTATTATGTGTTATTTTATTTATAATGAGTGTATTAAATTTTTATTTCCAATATAACACGTCTTAATAGAACATAAAGCTTTTTTAAAATCTTTATTCATTATCGGAATTATTAATTCTAAAGTAAAGAAATAATGGAGAACAATATTTCTTGAATTTATATTATATTCTTTAACGAAGTTGTTTTTATAATCATATTTTTTATCAAAAAAAACCGCATTATATGCACGTGTATACTTTATCTTCCAATTATTCACATGTGGTTACGATGGTGGGTACGATGATTATATGGTTTTAATGATTTTTAATTCGTAATGATTTTACGTTTTTAATTAAACATTCCGACCAACTGATATACATTGATGCATTTTATAATCACATGTTAGTGAATTGTTGAAGATGAGATCGTAGTACATTGGATTTTTAAACAACCATAGATAATCCTTTAATGAAGATAAGAACAAATTGAATGATTGTAAAGTTAAGGTAAACTAATTAATTATTATTGTTGCTTTGAAGGGAATTTTTTTTTTAGAATTATATTTGAGATGAAAGAGTAAAAAATATTATCACATCAGTTATACAAATCAGTTAACCTCTAAATTATTTATAATATTTCTTTCATTTTGATAATCAGAAATACACTGAATTAGATAGTATTTACATATTGTCATCAAGAATACATCGATCTATTATACATATATCGATTTATCTCGTTTCACATATTCATCGTCATACAATTAATCAATGTCGTTGTAATAAATACAATCATAAAGCATCGAAGAATTGCATAATCGACAGAATCAATTTGCAATTCGAACAACCGGATGTATGGGATCCTTTTTTTCTTTTTTTCTGTAAAACTACGAACTTAGATTAACGTTATAAATGTGGAATTTGATAGAGATAAGAAACAAGAACAGCGGTGGCACGATGACAGTGTAATATAGCTTTCTGTAATTACTGGCTGATGATAAATCGAAGGTTGAACGAGCCTTATGGGCGTATACTGAGTAGTCAAGAATGCTGATTGGTGATTGGACATGAATATACCAGACCCTCTCCATTAAGTCACCTTATAAATTCTTCTAGTATTATAAAATCACCAGTATTTATAATGATATGAATAACAATCAATCTTATTTGTAATTCAATTCTGATCCATAGATATTTGTAAATGTTTATTATTTGAATGATAGTAAGTGAATTGGCAATCGGTTTTAGCATTTTTGAGGTAAGTCTGCACTTTGTTATTTATATATACAATAATGCATAAGATGAGATTTGCGAAACATCAATTATCCGTAGAGATAAATATTTTGAGAATCGGAATATTCGTCAATTGAATTGAATGATATTAAGTGGAGATGAATTAGAAAAAAAAAGAAATCGTGAAATATTCTTCGCAGATATAGTTTTAGAAATTGATAATTCCGTATCGGCTAAGAATGCCATAACTACAGAAATTAACTGCGTGCATTATTGTATATACTTAATCATTATCGGACGTAAACATTTCATGCATGACTTGTCTTCAAGTTATTGCTTCACGTGAGGGCTGAAATATTTATATTATTATAAAATGAGAAAGCAAAGTTTTATATATATGCAAATTCCACGATATTTGATTTTTTCATTCTGAAAACATATTTTCATTGTGATGAAATATACAATTATCCCGTCAAAGATAATATATATAATAAAATAATAATTGTCATGTTATAGATAATGTTAGTCTGATAAGGGTTATATGATACACATTTGTTATGTGACCTATATAGCGTGTCTGATTTATATTATTTTTTTTTTTTATATAACAGATTCGCAAACATTGCAAAGCAATGTTGAAATTGCGGCTCGATCTATTAGACGTTTACTGCGCCCACACACTGCTGTCTTAATATACATAATGTTTTACAATTGATTCAGATGGGTAAATAATTATATCAATTGAATGTACAACAGATTATTTAATACAATATTTAAAAAGAAAACAAAGAACAACACGCGTAGTATTTATTTGTAAGTAATGATTTTATTGTATTGTTATATTTTGAAAATCGTTTGAAATGAAAATATATGTATACTTTTGCTGAATCATTAATTTTTAAAATATAAATAAAAATTGAAAATTTTATTTTTAAGAAAATTAATTTGAATTTATACTATTTTATGTTTATACAATTAATTGTCTCAATTTAATGAATTATATTATAATATTTATATGTTTATATTCATTATATTAAGTAATGAAGCAATGTATAATGAAACGAAATAAATGTTCACATGTGCATGCATGTAATAAACAAGATATCTTGTATACCTCGTATATCATTCAACTCATGGTTAGTTTGAAACACGAAACGCGAAGCTTTTCGTAAGAAATCCGTATGTGAGTCGTATGGTTTGGAATGAGTTCCGGAATGCAAAACGTTCATGTTCGTAATTATATGATACATGTATAATTATTATGTGTAGGAAGGCGTTTGTTGTTCTTAAATACCAATTGTTCTAGTAGATAATTTTTCACTCATGTTAATTTTTATATTTAACTATTAATAATTATAAAAAGATTATTTTAATTGAAAATTGTATTGAGTTAAAATTAACTTTTTTTTTATTGTTTTATTTTTTTTATTGAAGCATTTATTAAAATCCATTAAATTAATATTTTTGATATTTTTACAAAGATATAACTTGTAATCAAAATAATTTAAATTTTTATTATTTATAATCGTTACTTATATCGTTATTTATAATCGTTAATATTGTAAATAAGTATAATATATTTACAATATATTTATCTTTGCAATATATTTAATGTAATCAAAAGAATTAGTTTAAAAAACTAGAAAGAATAAAAAAAATGCGTAACGTATAATACGATGTACAAAAACTAATTGATAAAATCAATTTATGATTTATAATTATACACAAATTTTGGAATGAAAGTAAGATATAATGAATTTTTATTAAAATAAATGAAAGTTTATGTTACATTATATAACTTATTTAATATTGAATATTCGTAAATAAAAATTAATTTTATATCAATTATAATTGACTATAAAATTTATATTGATTATACATTTTTTATTTCTCTTAATAAATATTATTTTTTAAAATTCTAGATTTTTTTTCACTCTATATATTATTGGAATATTTTTTTCAATTGTATTTACTATCTATCCATAGATTCTTCACGAAAAAAATCTTTTCAAATAACAAAACCTAACCTAAATATTTTTTAAATTTTTAAAATCTTAGACTATGTTAATGATTCACAAATATTGTTTATGTTATTGTTGTTATTGTTTAATTTTATTTCAATTATTATAATTAATTATTTATTATCGTCAATTACTTACCTATTTATTTTAATCGTTCAATATGAAAGAATAAAATAATTAGTAAATCACTATCAATTCGGTGCACAGACACATTAAAATAAAACAAAGGGATCGAAAATATTTGTACGTGGCCGAACGTACACATGAAGATCGATCCCTCTGACTATGAGGGATGGAGTGTTAAATGAGAAACAAGCTAATGGTCAACCTTCATTTATAAGAAAGTGTCCAAGGATCAAACCTTCCGCAGACTCTATCGAGGAAGGGGCAATAACAGAGCCTGTGGATTAACAAGTACTTGAGAGTATTCGTTACCTATGGTGGGAGATATATAATACTCTTGATCTTCGATTTCCAAGGTCCTTTCTATTAATCGCTTATTTTCTTCTTTAAAGTTCAAAAGTTTTTAGAGATTATAAATAATAAATCAATTTTTCACTCAAATTTCAAAAAATTTTATTTTGATTAATTATTATTATTTTAAATCATTAAAATACTTATATTATTTTTTTTATATTTTGATTTCTAAAATATATATTATTCTCTTAAAATAGAAGATTAGATTAGATATTATTAAAAATTATTTGATAAAAATTTTTCTAAAGGTTTTTTTTTTTTGCGATTCTAAGGTTAATGTTATGCTTTTGTAATTTATAAAAAAATTATCTGATATTATACCATTTCAATTTTTCTCTATTAGAATCATTCAATTTATGTTTTCTTACATTAATAAAGATAATAATATTCTTACATTATAAAAATAAAATCTACTCATGTATAAATTAGTAAATGAAAAAATGTAAAAATATAAATTGTCATATGCTTATTAACAATAGAATGTTCAATATAAATTGAAAGAAACTAGAAAAAAAATCTCAAATTTTTGTAATATATTATATAAATTATACATACATTTATTTTTAAATATACAATTTTATGAAAAAATGACAATGATAACAATTTAAGATATCCATTCCATTCTGTCTAGAATGATATAAAGTGATATTATCGATTACAGTCCTTGAACAATAACAATTACATATCCTTCTAATGAGAAACAAAAGCCTGATTTCGAGGTGATTAACCTGTATGATTAAAATGATATATATGGCTTTTATATATGTTGCATTATCGTTTTAACATTGACACACTTTATCAAATTGATTCTCATGCCAGTTAATACTATAATATGAAATAAACAAAGTTCAAAGATTTTCCTTGAAACATGTTATTGTAATATGACAATTTCAATAGTACACATAGAACGTGACTCCATGATTTAAGAGAGATAAAACCACAAGAATTTCTTTATGTACATTGTAATTATCAAGTTTCCCAATTATTTATAAAAACAATCCGATAAGTATCAAATGAATAAATATGCAAGTGAGAAATTAATAAGCAACAAAATTTTGAATGAAATATATGTACATATTTATGTACATGTATCTCGCGAATATATTGAATACATTATCGATAAAAAATTTAAAATCTCTTTTCCAATTATGAATTTATATTAAAGCTTCTGTTAATATTAGTTTTATTATTTTTTACACTAGTTTGCTATTACTATTATAGACTTTTATATGACATATGTATATGTAAATAAATATATATAATTATAACTGACATAAGTTACAAAAATTTTCAAGTATTCCGAATACAATATCTTTGAAAAATTATTCGGCTAAATCATAAGTTATTCGTGTTATTCGTGTTACATTTCTATATATCATAAGTTATTCAAATTACCGAAGATCAATATTCACAAAATACAAATTCCGGTCAAATTCTTTGCATTATCGAATCGTTCGAATGGAAACAAAGTCATATAAATTATTATAAATTGAAAAGAATCCGATTAATAGGCGAATATTCGGGATTAAAATTATTATAATTTATTAAAATTTTAATAAACAATTCGTTTCATTTTATAAAATAAAATATCAATAATAAATAAACCCTTTGTATTTGAATATGTATATATATATATATACATGTGTAAATATATACTTGAAATATTCTTTTTTCTATTAACAAACAGTGCAGCAATGTTTTGGTATTTCATAATAATAAATCAAAATTTTATTCAAATTCTATTCTATTTATTTTTTGTAAAAATATACATTTATATAAACATCTTCAGTCTGTCATTTGGATCTTCATTATCCTTAAACTAAGGAATTTGCAAAGAATCTTTTATATATCGATACGAAAGTGATGCCACCTATCCAAGGGAGCAGACTATAAGTTATCGTATACCTTCCCATACCAACCTTCCCATACCACACGTTTCTCGTTTATCCCATGAACGCAATCGAATTCCTCTATAACAGAAAAAATCGTTTACGCGATTTGTGTCGCTCGAGATTCACAGGAAATCAAGGAATGGAAGGATGCAGTACGCACTCTCCCTGTTATCGACCATATCAAGACTAAAGCAAGAATCAAGGGAGAACGAATGATAGCGAGTGATACCGAATTCACCCGAAGGGTTAGTCGTGTTCAGTGTTGTACTTTCCACGAATACTGGATGAATAATACTGCAACTTCTTTGCACCATTCGAACACATTATTAACTACATATATATATTTTTCAACATGTTTCGAATAAATTTCATCAAAGGATTAACCATATGTTTGTGAAATTTTACATACACGTGGATTTTCATTTAACTTAAAGTTTATTTAGCAAGACATTTATTGGAAATGTGATCGAGGATTTCTTATTGTATTATTGAAAACAGAAAAAAATATAAAAAATGTAAAATTGTTATGATACGAACAAGTAAAGGATTAAAAGATAATTTGAAGAAATGTTAAAAAATTTTATCATCATTTTGATGATGTCAATTCAATTTCCATAAATAAACAGTAAAGTATAAGATTTTCAATAATGATTTGTCTGGTGTAGTGTTTGCTTGGTAAGCTGCGGTTTCTCAGTTTAACGTGGTTATCGATCATGCAACGATACATAACAAGTGATATAAATATATGGTAAACGATGAAAGAAAAAGAATCAATGGATATCTTAAAATTGTTCAAATTAATTTTCTGGTGAGGTGAACTTTCGAACTTATATGTATGTATTTGTGTTTTCCTCGCTATTTTAATGGAGAAGATTAATCAAAAGATCGAAACATGCGTGTTTCGAAAAGAAAAATGTTTCATGGATCGGATTTATTGTTTCATCATTAAACAAATTGATATTTGGTATTATTAATTGTATGATGTATAGAAGAATAAAAATAGTTGGTGATTCGTTCATAGATGAAGAACCATGATGAACGTTAATCAATGCTACAACACAGCTGTAAAAAAGTAAGTTTATAATTTTCTTGTTTAATTTTTTAAAATTATTTAAATTTTCTTATTTTATAATATCTCTTTTTTTATTCTATAAAAAGTTGTTTATATTTTATATTGGACAAAATGATTTAAGATATTAAATAAAAGATAATATATATCAATAGATAATAATTAAAAAAATTAATGTTATATGTTTCATTTGTTCACTTTTAATAAAAATGTGAATGTAAATGCATTATTATATAGGTCTGTAAATATTATTATATATATATGCGTGCAAATTTAAAAATTTAATTTGAATTTTTATAGATAAAATTAAGTACATGTAAAATCATATATTAAAAAACAATAGAAATGATTTAATCAGATTGGAAAAATATGTATCATTATATATAATTATTATGTATTACAAATATTCATATAATATTTATATACAATTATTTAGATACAAAATTATATATTAAAATTACACATCAATACAAGAATTTATTTCATTATATTCCGATAATTATTATGATTATTTCATATAATACAAATTAGCTTAAATTATTGTCATAAAGTTATCTATATTTATATTTCCAATAAAATCAATAGGTCTGTTGTCGACGACATACAGGATAAAACAATCTTATCGATTTCGTTGTATTATATTAATAAAAATTATTATTATATCAACAACAATTTTACATATTAAGAAATATTCTAATTAAAATCTAATTATTAACAAAATATATAGATTCGAATTCATTATGTGAAATTTATCGATAATTGATAATTATTATTAATTAATACAGATTATATTATCAACATTCGGAAAAACATTCTTAATTTCTCGTTGAAATGATTTTACATTTTTTTTACATCTCTGGACATGGATTTTACTTATATAATGTTAACAATATAGATTGATCGATGAAATAATTAATTATTCATAAATGAATTGCAGTTATGTTCATAAGAAAAATATGATACCTAATTCGATTATGATTTACTATAGAAGAAACTATAGAAGAAAATTATTTTTAATTAATTATTTTTAATTATTATTCATTACTCTTATCAAATTTTTCATATATAATAAAATTTTTGAATTATTTCTTAATATGCCCTTTCATCTATTTTATAATTTTTATAATTTTAATTTTTAAAATATCATTTTTAGAAAATTTTATTGTTTTACATTTTTCGAACAATATTTTTTTTTTTTTGATATTATAAAGTAATGACAACTTAAACAAACAATTTTTAAAAATCTCATAGATAATGTAAGTCAAATTGAAATAATGTGATTCATATCGATTTGCATTTTCGATCTAATAGCAGTCGATCAAAGCATCATCACGATTGGTCGAAACTTCCACAAACCGATATATCAAGGTCACTATACATTAGTGTGCTCATTATAACAATTCTCCTGTTGTAAGTTCTCGTTCAAGGTTCCTTTAACAACTACGGAATTTCTATCTTCATTCGTTTCTTTTTCTCTGTTTTCCTCTCGCTTCTTACATATTTAACTTAAGGACTGCAAATTGCTATATCATCTATGCAAAATGTTGGCAATATATTTATCAACAATACATATATTAAAAATATTATAAACAATTGATTATTTTATAACGAATTGATAATAGGAAATCAAAATGTTTTAAATTAAGAAAAATTTTAAACGTTCGACTTTTTAATTGTCTTCAAGAAATAAATTCTTTTTATTTTCTATTTATTCTTTACTCGATCTATTTTTTTACGTTTCTACATTATTCAATAAGATTATTTTTTGTTCTAGATATAGGTAACCGGCAGATAAACAGATGGAAGGTGAAAGAGCAAAAAAGAAATTTCAACAATGATAAAAATCGTATATTTTCTTGGCAATGATTTCCTCCGGAACTGAAAAGGTGTTTAAACGAATTTAAAGAGATAAATCCAACGAACCAGAGCGAAAAAAGGGCAAGAAAAATGGGCTCTCTGCCAAATTTACATGAATTGTCGAAGGACAAACTCGAAAGTCTTGCTTATAGACCGGCTCCGATCGGTGGTTTAGGACCCATACGACTGCCAGCTCAGCCTCCGCCGTTAGCACATACTCATAGACGCGCTAGAAGCAGTGGTCATCATCATACCTTGTGGGACAATGATGCTATGCTCGAGGTATTATTTGTCATATGTTTAAACACAAAATCCCCATTGTTACATAGTTACATAGTTCTTACTTGTTACATCTTCATTCGTTATTAGATTCAATGGTAACTATTTAAATATGTAACAAAAAATTAATATTTCATTTCATTTAAAAATCCATTTTATTTAATTTCACAAAAGTTATTCTCAAATTTTTATTCTATTCTCAGATTAATCATATACTTAATTTAAAAAGAATTATATTAATATCTGCAATAATTAAAAAAAACGGTTTTTAATCATTAATCCGTTGAATATTTTATATATAAAAAAAAAAATATGTAAAGAAAGAAAATTTTACAGCATATGGCAGCATATTCCCCAATTTCCTGCCGATCAACACGAACGTCTGCATTATCATGGCGTCGACGAGACTCGATGAACTCATCTGCAGGAGCGTCATCCGTTCGTCGGCTGATCGCTGCGGTGAGGACAGCTCCTTCCGGTCCAAGACCTCCGAAAAAAGTGATCCTGAGGCATTGTGCTGCTCTTCTCTTAGGACACGCGAGCTGTTCAGCTGCTATGCTGCCCATGTTCCCGTTACAAGCTGGCCTCGGTACCTTCAATCTTCATCTGGGACCGATGTTGCTCGCTCTTCTTTATGCAATTGCGACGATTACTAGTTGCTTTGCTCCAATTCTTGTGCAAAGATTCGGGACTAATCTCGCAATAAGCACTAGTCATATGGCCACCACCGTTTTCGTTGGATTACATTTATACCCAAAATGGTGCATATTAATTTTTAGATAAATTGTTTTTATCGATTAAAAATTATGATTATATGCTTATATTACATTATAATTATATATTATTAGGTACATACTATTACCTAGTTATGCATTGTTAGGCGCTTGTATAAGTCCAAGTTTCATAGCAAGAGTTTCACACATAAATACTTCAGCGACAAGTTTAGCTCTGGTATGTGTCGATCCCGAGGATCCTGATGAAACAAGACGCGAGTGCCTTCTGAGAAGACTTAATCGAGCAATCAAATTAGCAGAAGACATAGGTCTCGCACTGGGTATGAAAATTATGTATATATCTTAGAAATTATATTAAATTATATTATTAAAATATTCTATGAGTTTAAATGGATAATCTTATTTTTAGGTTGTTTAATCGCTGCCGTACTTGTAAAACTAATAGATTCAAAACCTCTCAATACAATAAGCAGTGAAATAAACGACATGTGCGGAGCAGAATATTGTCCAGAGGAAATTTATCTTTATAATAGTACAACTAATTTATCGACATTATCATCTGGTACATCAAAAATATTGGTCAGCATATGGTTAGGCCTTGCTGTTTTAGGCTTAAGTATATCGTGCGCTTTTCTCGACTCCAGAATGAAAGAACCGCAAAGTGTAAACGAAAAGCATAGCATGCAAAATATCCTCGCATCTGTGAAAGCTGCATTTCTGGATCCTAAGTTACAGCTGGCTGCACCATTAACACTTTTTATCGGACTTGAACAGGGTTTCATCTATGCCGATTTTATAGAAGTAAGTATAAAAATATCAAACATAAATATCAATAGATAATTTCAAAGTAAATGGATCATGGTTCTAAAAATTCAAAGATTAAATAATGCATTAAAAGATCATTATATTTCTATCATATATTTCTATCATACATTCGATATAGTCATTTTTTAATTTCCAACAATTAAAAAGTAAAACCAAGAAACTTAATTTTCACATTATTTAAATTTAAAAAATTAATTCTTAAATTTTTAGACATTTTAAACGGAACGTTTTCTATGTAACATTATTATCTATGTAACAACTATTTTTTTTTGTAGCAAATTTAATAATATATATATTTGTTTATTATGTTATGACACATCATGAATATTTCACTATTATTTGACAGGCATATGTAGTTTGTGCTTTGGGAGGAGCTAGCACTGTAACTATCAGTTTTTTAGCTTTAGCCTCTTTACAAGCTCTCGCTGGTGTCACTTTATCAATGTTATTAAGGCACATTAAAAGATATTTCGTTGTAGGTAAGTAAATATATCATCATAAATTTTATTTTTTTTATTGAGTAATCATTATTAAAAATTAATCATGATGTTTTATTTAAAAGTTGTAGGATTTGTATTTCACGCATGTTTATTATTGGTTTTAACCACCTGGAGACCATCCGGTGATGATCCAGCACTTTTTCACGTTATATCTGCTGCCTGGGGAGTTTGTAACTCCATTTGGGAGACTTTAATATACAGTAAGTTATATTACAAAACTTAATTATATTTAAAGAAATGAAATTTTATATATATACAAATATTAAATTTATATAATTTTATATATATATATATTAATTTAATATAACAAAAATATCACGATTGCATTTTTACTCATATTCCATTAATTTTGTTTAATTTTAGCATTAGTATTAGGTTTATACCCAAATTCTTGGCAAGGACCTTTATCAACGTCCCTCTTTTGGAAATATCTTGGTCTCGCCCTCACTCTTGGCTTACATGGATTGGTCTGTACACGATTTCGAGTACTTGGCCTTTCCGGTGTGCTACTTCTTTCAGTGCTTCCTTATGGATGGTTAGAAATTAGATTGGCGAAAAGAGGGAAAAGCTTGGCACCATTGTGACTGGGAGATCCATCTACGAATGATCATAGATCAAGTATCAAAACAGAAGCTCGTTATAAAGATTGAGATAAGTTCGTTCCATTCGGCTTAAGAAGGACAAGAAGACATAATAGAAGCAGAAATCCTTTCATGGAACATGCTTCAAGTATTGCAAAGTTACGCACACGAAGAAGAGCAAACAGTGTTGCTTTTGCTTGTAATATTGAACAAAATATAACGGCAAAAGATATTGAGCCGCAACCTTCTTCATCGACCGCAAACGATCATCGAGTAAGTATTACAAATCAAGACAGTAGTGGCGTTCTTCCTGTTTCTTAAGATTGGTGGTTGAAGATCTTAAGAAATTAAGTAATTTTTTAATATTTTCTATGTTTAAAGATGTAAGTTGGGATTAAATAACAAAGACAATTTTTAATTCAATAAATTTAATTATATTCTGTATTTTTTTCCTTAGGTGTTTAATGTTTCCAAATATTCAAGTTGAAAATTTTATCTTTATAATTATTGCAATAGATATATGAAATTTCTTTCATATGCAGATATTCATTTATACAAAGATCCGGTAAAATGTAATACAATATTTCTATTCATATTCCAATTCAATTTTAGATATATTGTTATTATTAGATTCCACTTCAAGGAATATTTTAGATAGTAACTTTTTTTATCAAATTTATATTTGTTGTTGAAAAATATAATATTCATTATTTTTACAAAGGATTATTATAAAATTATATATTTATAATAATATTAAAATTAAAGATAACAATAGCATAATTGTGAAGAATATAAAAATATTTATCAAAAATTCGATGAAAAAATGTTTTTTATATTTATTACATTATATTAATTATTAAATAAAATTTATAACTTAATTTTTTCTATTTATCATTTATTGATATTTTATTTATCAACATAATATATATTATGTTTAAATGAGAATATATTTCAATGAATTTTTAGTAATATATCTTTTAAAAGCGAAGATAAGAAAAAAAAATATCTGCATACCTAGTAAATAGAAATTATGTTTCAAAATGTTGAGTAAATAAAGTCTTTCTTCAAGTTGAATGGAACGATCATATTGCACATGAAATAAAATAAAAAATTTTTCATGCAGCAAAAAATATAAATAAATAAATGCTCTTACGAGCGATTTATTATTCCGTTGTGGTACGATCGGTTTGATAAATCAGCATCGTACAAGACTGAGCGATAGCAAAATATATACTATTAACAATTAAATATAATTAAAGTAATATTTCTCTGACAAATCATTATAACTGGCGTTCAACCGTCGAAACGTACCTGATGTCTTTACAAAAAAAAAAAAAAAAAAAACCAAAATTAATTCTAATCTTGCGGGAAAAAAAAGAAAAAGAAGATAAACCACATCTGCCCTATATCTCACAGAATCGAAACGAAAAATAATTATAAGATATTTAAATATAAGTATTGTTATATAGTTCAATTATAACTACATATTAACAATATCAATATCAAAGTTTATCATTCATATAAAAAAATTGAATAAGAAATTAATCGTACAAATGATGAATACACATTTTTGATTAAAAGAAGTTAAAAAAATAAGACGCTTCAACAAAATGCCAATATATATATATATATATATATATATATATATATTGTATTTTATTCTCGACAC